GAGTGTGTGTGTGTGTGTGTGTGTGTGTAAGTGTGTGTGTGTGTGAGAGAGTGTGTGTGTGTGTGTGTGTGAGAGTGTGTGTGTGTGTGTGTGTGTGTGTGTGTGTGTGTGTGTGAGTGTGTGTGTGTGTGTGTGTGTGTGTGTGTGTGTGTGTGTGTGTATGTGATGAAATTATACTCTAAATAAGAAAATAAAACTGCCAGCAGGTGGCAGTAATGTCTTGATGAGTCATTCATTCATTCGATTCGTTCATACGGCTGATTCATTCAGGAATTAAGTAAACGGCTCACACTATGAATGAGTCTTTGAATCATTGAATCATTGGTTCACACGATCCGTTCAAAACAAGGATTCATTCAGAAACTGAACACTTGCTATTCGGGACAAAAACAGCACTCATTCATTTCGCAAATTATGAATCTTAATGAATCTATGACCAGGCGAAATGCGAAAACAAGAGAAAGCTGTTCCAATAAGTTTATTGATATTAATAATTCGTTTTGGCTTTATTATGAATGATGTGAAAAGCTGAAGTTATGTGTGATAAGATTTGTTAATGCAACTTTCTCGCTTTACCTTTGTAAAAGCAAACAGTTCAAGCCAAATAATAATGTCCATATAAACCTAAGCATGTGTCTTAATGAAACAATATTTTCACATTTTCTGAAGGAAATATGAGTGGTTGCTAGGGTGTTGCTATGCAGTTGTTGCTAGGGTGTTCCGGATTGTTTCTAGGGCGTTGCTCAACTATTTTATTTTTCATATTTTTAGATACTTTAGATTTTTTCATATCAGTTTTCAGCTTTCTTGTACTTATGTATTTTTTTCACATGAGCTACTTGAGTAATTTTCCATGAAGTAATATTTTCTTTTACTCAAGTATGATGATTGGATAATTTTCAACAACAACGAGTTTTATTGGGAATTGCACTTTTTATTATCACTATTATTACTGGTTTCTGTCCTTGAATGTTCAGCTTCACTTTGCAATCATTTATTTCCTTCATGAAGTGCAAATAAAGTTTCTATATTTTCACTTGTCACATCTCGTAGTTTAACTCTACTAATGTCATTCAGGAAAGTCAAATATGATAATTGTCTCAAAAGTGCATGAACCTCGTGATCATCTGAGCTGCAGATCTATATTTTGTGTTGTTTGTGTAGGTTTTGCTGCCATCTTCTGGAAACATCTGGATGTGCAGAGAGCTGACCTCACGTGACGCTCAAGCTGGAGCTCATCAAGGGGTGTGGTCTTTTTTCTTACGTCATTATTACGTCACACCTGAACATGCACCAGATGTCATTGTTTGCTAGTATTTGTGAAGGACTTGTGCTGTTGTGTTGCATTTGTTGTACACAATTAAAGGCACTATCCATTTTATTTATTTCTTTTCTTTTATCCATTTTATTAGCTGTTTTCAGTGATGACAGCTTCAGGGATTTATTTTTCGATGCGAATGACACTGGAAGCCTCACACATTAGAGTTACAAATGACAGAGTTCTTTTTCTAATTCTATATGAACTGTCAGGTAAGTGTTTGTCCAGCAGGGGGCAGTGACAGCTGC